ATTAAAAATATCAGGTTGGTAAGATTTGAACTTACACTATTTTACACCCAAAGTAAATGCCTTACCAGATTAGGCTACAACCTGTTTATAGAATTCTCCTCTCACCTTCAGGATTATCTCCAGAAACACTCTATTTACCGGGTTATAAAAAAAGAATCATTTTATTAAAATGATTCATTATCTTGTCCTTGATTTCCAGTCCAATAAAGACTGAGTATAAGAAAATGAATGGAGATAGCCGGACTTGAACCAGCACTACTCATATGCAAAACGAGCTCTCTACCAATTAAGAAATATCCCCAAATTCCTCTTATATAGAGGTTCCTATACTTATAAATTGAATCTTCCTTGAATAGAGAAATTATGAATTAGAGACCCATGATCTTCCTTAAGTCGAATTTCAGAGAAGGATATTTTGAATCTTTTCCTTTATTAAATACTTTCTATTATTTTAAGACTATACAATAAGGAAATTTATTTTGAAAACTCGTCCCTGATCCTATTTGGACCGGGGATTCTCCTATTTTTAAGTGACTGTTATGACAGAACTCTAAATTTGGATTAAGCCGTTTTTTTAGAAGGAAGTAATAATACAGCCCATAATAATAATAAGAATAATCTAGGATCTCCTACGTAGAAAATTAAAGTGATAAATACAATTAAACCACTGAAGATATACATAGCATAAGATGGAATGAATCCAGTATCTAAAGTCGTAATCTTAGTAGAAGCATTTTTGAATACATTTACTAATCCATAAGGTCCTACTAATTCAATAACACCTCTATCTAAAGTTTTATTTGTAGTATAACCAAAATTTAATAATTTACTTAAGATTAAATTATTATAAATATTATCAAACCAATATTTTTGATTTAAGAATCTATATAATGTTCTACCTAATGTATTTTCTGTTAAACTAATAGTGAATAATGGGAATACATGATATAAAACTAATGCAAGTCCTCCTCCAAATAAACTACCCATTAATGGTAATAATTTATAGAAAGTAGGAATAGCAAACTCAGCTTCAATTAAACTTACATGATTTGGATGTACAAATAGAGAGTTACCCCAGAAATTTGTACCTACACCAATAAATAGATCTTTTGTAACATAACCAAAGAAAATACTCATAATAGCTAATAATACTAATGGAACTGCCATAATGAATGGAGCTTCATGAGTCCCTAAATAATTAATTCTAGGTCCATTTGGATAAGTTAAGAAAGTTAAAGCTAATAGTCTTAAAGAATAGAAAGCTGTAAATACGGCTGAAATTGTTCCTAACCAATAAGCTACATTTCCTGTAAATAGATATTGTCCAAAAGCTACTTCTAAGATTAAATCTTTCGAATAGAATCCTGTTAAGAATGGTAAAGCCATTAAACTTAATGATCCAATTAAGATCATAGTGTAAGTGAATGGTAATAAATTCACTAATCCACCCATTTTTCTCATATCTTGTTCATCATTTAATGCATGAATAACTGCACCAGCTGATAAGAATAATAAAGCTTTGAAGAATGCATGGTTTACTAAATGGAAAATACCAATTGAATAATTAGATAATCCACAAGCAAATACCATATAACCTAATTGCGAACAAGTTGAATAAGCAATTACTCTTTTCAAATCATTTTGTAGTAAACCTGTTGTAGCTGCAAAGAATGCAGTTAAAGCACCTACCCAAGTAATAATAATTAAGATTGTCGATCCATATTCTAAAATAGGAGATGATCTTAATAATAAGTAAACTCCTGCTGTTACCATTGTAGCAGCATGAATTAAAGCAGATACAGGAGTTGGTCCTTCCATTGCATCTGGTAACCAAGTATGTAAACCAATTTGAGCTGATTTACCCATGGCTGCAATTAATAAACAAATAGAAATCACTGTAATTAATTCTTCATTCATAAATGGAGCTAAAGAGAATACTGTAGTAAAATCTAAATTACCAAATGTCCAGAAAATAGCCCATAGACCAATACTGAATCCCCAATCTCCTACTCTATTCATTACTAAAGCTTTAATAGCAGCTTTGTTAGCTTGTAATCGAGTAAACCAGAAGTTAATTAGTAAGTATGATGAAATACCTACACCTTCCCATCCAATAAACATTACAAGATAATTATCTCCTGTTACTAACATTAACATGAAGAATGTGAACATAGATAAATAAGAGAAGAATCTTTGATTATGTGGATCTTCACCCATATAACTTGTAGAATAAATATGTACTAAAGCAGATACAATTAAAACAGGTAATAACATAGATACTGTTAAACTATCATAATTGAATCCCCATGATACTAACATAAATTCGGAATCAATCCAACTCATTAATTTAATAGATACAGGTGATTGACATAGACCTACTTCGTAGAAAGCTACAAATGCTAATAAAGCAGTTAAAACTAATGAACTACAAGTAATTAAATGACTCCCTGTTGTACCTACTTTTCTACCTAAAAATCCAGCTACAGCAGCAGATAATAATGGTAAAGTTAAAATCGCTAAATACATTATGATTTAATAGCAATACTACCTCTTAATCTATAATATGCTACTAAAATACCTAATCCAATAGCAGATTCTGCTCCTGCAATAGCAATTACATAAATACCATAAGTTTGACCTAGAATATCATCAAAACTAAATGAACTTAAGATAATTAATAATGTAACTGCTAATAGCATGATTTCAATAGAAATCAACATTAGGATAATATTTTTTCGGTTAAGAATAAATCCTAAAATCCCAATTAAAAACAAGACCATTGATAAATTCATTATGTCTTATTTTAATATAAATTATTATAATCATATTACACAGTATAAGTTAACCTATACAAATGACCCCTTTATTTTAAAATCCAAACTTTTATATAAATCACTTTATTGCATACAATATAAAAAGAATGAATGATTTACCAAATGATTGATTTGATAATATGAATTGACTTATTTTTAAATCCCAAGACCAAATTTGCTCCGGGAATTATTTTATTTCTTAAATGAATAAAATAATATGAACAAGTTATTCCAATCTTTACTTTTATACTTGTCCCTGACCCTGTCGGACCGGGGACTTAATAAGCTTATAAGTAAGAGATTGCCTTGCACATAAATTCATAGTTCTTAGCCGCCGGGCTCAGACCGGTGGCCCACCCCGGCGGAGGTTTGAATCTTATTTGGTCCTGACTCTATTCTAGGCAAGGATCCAAATTCACTGAGGTTGTAACTTAATTGGTAAAGTTCCCGACTTTTAATCGGTATTATTAGGGTTCGAATCCCTGCGACCTTATTTTCATTTACTTTAGCCGCCGGGCTCAGACCGGTGGCCCGCCCTGGCGGAGAGTTATTTATTCATTTTTGTGAATAAGGTCAACTAGCATAATTGGTAATGCGATAGATTGCAAATCTTCCAGATAAGTGTTCAAGTCACTTGTTGACCTTTAACCATCTTAAAATTATTAAAAGTATTAAATAAAGGAAAAATTAAATTAATAAATTAGATACTGCTAAATGCATTGGCTCTAGGAAGATATTTGGATAAATCCCCATTACAAACATTAATACTAAGAACGGTAATAATAACATAAATTCTCTTCTATTAATATCTCCAGCTGATTTTAAATAAACACTGTAAGAACCAAAAGCAACTCTGTTATATAACCAAATTGCATATCCAGCACTTAGAATCATACCTACAGCACCAAAGATAGTTAGAATAGGATTTTGTTGGAAAGCTCCAGCAAAAGTCATAAATTCTCCTACAAAATTCGATGTTAGAGGTACTGCAATATTACCTAAAGTGAATAAGAAAAATAATACAGACCATACTGGCATATATTGAGTCATTCCTCTATAATATTTTAATAATCGAGTATGATATCTATCATAAAGAATTACTACACTAATGAATAGAGCAGGTGAAACAATACCATGAGCTAGCATTAAAATCATACTACC